AAGATTTATGTACTTATTCACTAATATAATGATGCCAGAAACAAAATTTGAAGATATGCAAAAGCTCTGCTTCTATCTGCACAATAAGAAAACGTGTTAATTTTAGCCTGTAACTGTGAGTCATGGTCCTCTGAGAAGCCCAGCTTTTTTCACTAGTAAAGAAGAACAATCTATGTTTTCTCAAGCTTCCTGCATTATAATACTAACTTGTATAAACTTTCAATTTGTTGCCATTTTTAGCTGAAAAAGCTCCGTATGTCTAAGAAACTGGTTTTTCAGTGATATGATCTCTAATTTTTTTAACTTTTACTTAAACATCAAAGTAGCTGCTGGTTAATATTCACTGAGTGCTGCTGTGTCTCTCCTCCTCCACCTAGTTGTACGCAGTGAAATGCGACCGCAAATCAGATGTCTCTAAGCGTCAGATCCGATGATGTCACACAGGAGGCGGGACACGGGAGCAGCGGGAGAGAGGGAAAAAAAAAAACACGGACTGAAAAACGCTCTGAACACAGATAGCTGCACTCAACCTCTGTTACCTTTGGCTAAAGTAAATGAGCGGAAAGGGGGAATATTATTGGTGGGGACATGTCCACACCGGTCCTTCAGAAAGTTACGCCTTTGCTTTACAAAGTGCTGTCTAGAAAGAGTTGTTCTATGTGCTTTAGTTTGCTGTCATTTGAAGGGGAATTACTAGCTGAAGTAATTACAACCTTTACATGCAGTCCACTGGGATTTTATTAGATGGATCCTGACAAAGTGGAGATAAATGCGTAAGAATTTGTGATATTTTTCCCTCTAAATCGCTCTTTTATCTTAACGTGTGTCTCTCCGTCACAGAAAGTTTTATATAAGTAACCAAAGTTTGTGGTTTTTACTGTAAAGCAATTTAAAGGGAATCAGCAAAACGGCTGAAAATGTCTTTAAGTTCATCTCTACTTGCTGCAGATCTGCTAATATTTCCCCCCTCCTCTTCCTCCTCCCAGGACTGTTTGAATCCAGAGTGGCTCAGTATCTGGATTCCTCCTCGGAGCCTGAGCCCAGCGGTGTGAACAAATTTCTCAAAGGACTGGGTTGGTGTCGCTCTTTCAAACTTTCACTTTCCTCTGTTGCTTTACAGAAGCTAAAACTACTTTTTTTTTCTTTTTTTTCAGGAAACAAGATGAAGCTCCTTCAGATTAAATAAATAAAGCTCAGTTCCTTCACTCATAAAGGAGAGAAAACATATTTTAAAAACAGAACAGATTGGAGCGGTTTAAGGAAACATGGTAAAATGTCGGTGTTTGGATGGAACGACTGATGTCAAGTTTCAGCTCCGCTTGTGTGTCAGTCCTGCACTTCGCTTCGGATAAAAACTGGAAACACTTTAACTGTTTTTTTTTTTTTTATAAACTAAATCAGGTTTTGTTTCTTTATTAATGTCCAACAACATTCCAGCTGTTGAGTCTCAACTTTAACCTGTGTTTGAAATTATGATCTCCATTTAAATGGAAGCTGTTTACTCTGTTTTACCTTCTGTTCGGTCAGGTAACTTATCTTTTTTATACTTTCAAATTGTGAATATTATTCCTGTGGTTCCAACCTGGAGGATTTTATACTCTCTTGTAAATGTCATTGTTTCCTTTTTTTTCTACTAAAACGTTCATCTCTGGTTCAGTCCATGTATTAACTCTGAGCAGAACATTTTCTATGAATTTTTGTACCTGCTGTCCTTGAATTTCTACAGAATGACTGGACTTTTTTTTTTTTTTTTTTTTTTAACGTTTTGCACATTCTTAAAACTGTACAGTGTTTGTAAAAAAAAGTGTTTTTATTAAAGTTGGATATAGTTCTTTTTATGAGTCTCCAGATTATTTAATTTTAGTAACTGATGATGACATATTAAATGCTATAATATCTGAATAAAAGCAGATTATTGAATAGTAATGCTAGTTTTTACACTAACAAAGGAAATGCAAGACATTTACAATTTTTGTATTTATTAAGCTTAGGTTTTTCATTTGTGATTTAAAAGGCTGTAAAGTAAACATGTTTTTCTTAAAAATCTAAATTTAAGCAAGATTGAATTATTTCAATTATTTGTCCATCCTGTTTCATAAAGGGAAGCCTCTATAGATCTATCACCACAGAGTGAAACACATCTAACCTTTATCTCCTGTAGTTTGATGATTTCTGGTCGCAGATAATGAAAGAT